CTCTCTCTGTCTCTCTCTCTCTCTCGCTCTCTCTCATTCTTTTTTCTCTCGCTTTTTTCTCTCTATCATACAGGTGGTATCATAGCGGTATCTATCTAATCAAAAGCAGGGATATATAAACCAGGTAGATAGATGGATACAGATTAATATAAGGATATGGTGATAACGAACACACGAGCGATATATATATATATATATATATATATATATATATATATATATATATAGAGAGAGAGAGAGAGAGAGAGAGAGAGAGAGAGAGAGAGAGAGAGAGAGAGAGAGAGAAAGATAGAGAAAAGAGAGAGAGAGAGAGAGACAGAAGATAGAGAAAAAGAAAGAAAGAAAGATAGAAGAAAGAAAGAAATGGAAAGAAAAAAGAACGAGCGAGAGCGATCCAAGGACGGGGAAAGAGGGAGAGAGAGAGAGACGTGGCAAGGGCGAGAACAACGTATATTTTGCAACGTGCAGCGAAAGCGCCTTTCCTACCCACCATCCTCTCAGTACACTTCCAGAGGGACAGACATGGAAAGCAAAAACAATCCGATCACAAGGCAGTCCGCTCACGAAAGGGAAGAGGGATGGAACGAAGAGTAAGGAGGGGAGTGAGATTAGGAGGAAGAAAAGGCGAAGGAAAAAGACCAAAAGGATGAAGTGAGATGAATAGAGGGAGTATATATAGATGTGTGTGTGTGTGTGTGTGTGTGTGTGTGTGTGTGTGTGTGTGTGTGTGTGTGTGTGTATATATATATATATATATATATATATATATATATATATATATATATATATATATATATACGTATATGTATGAAAAAAAATATTTATAATATATATATATATATAATATATTAAAAAAAAATTATCTATCTATCTATCTATCTATCTATCTATATATATATATATATATATATGTGTGTGTGTGTGTATGTGTGTTATATGTTATATGTTATATATCACATATATTGTACATATAGATACATGTAGATGTAGATATAAATATATATGTATGTTATATATAGATGTAGATATAGATATACATGTATTTGGATGCGCGCACAGTACGCGTGTTAGCGTGTAAGCATGTCAAGGCTCTGTACACAGTTAATATAGTGTAATAAGAAAAATCATAAGCTGTGGAAATAACATTATCTCATTAAAAAGCATCTTGCATGATAATAACATTTACTTTGTGTCCATCATCTTGACCACTATAACCTTGGAAGACAAAAAACATCTTAAAATAAAAATTAAATGATTGGACATTAAACGAAAAAAAAAGAAAAAAAAAAAACAGAAAAAAACAAGAATATCAACAGAGCAAAAGAAGACTCAAATTATCCTAGATTGAGCATTTAAGGATCAAAGTCCCACGATAGTCCCATTGGCTTCCACCCATCTGCACAGCACAATTTACAAGTACTTTTTGAACTTCTTTTTCCCACCCTTTTATCTTGTTTTTTTTTCTTTTCCCGCTGTTCTTACCGGTTCTCATTTGCATAAATCAAGTAGCGGATTTACCGGTTCGCGAAACACGTCTCATGGTGTCTATTAATGTCTAATAAAAGCGGATTTTCGAGCAGACTCACCTTGTTTTGGTTCGGGTTTCGGGAAAGTGCGTGGTCGACTTGCAAATTGTCTCGAGAAAATACCGGCTTGCAAAACGCCTTCCGTAATCCTTTGCAGGCCCGCGAAATGTCTTTAAAATTGCACTGTCGGCTCGTACATACCCCAAGGAAATGCACTGTCAGCGTGCGATATACCTCATCAAAATAGGTATGATATTGATACCTGATACTCCTCTCTGCTCACCTCTTACAATTTTCCCTTTCTCCCTCCCTCCTTCCTTCCTTCCCGAGAGAGAGAGAGAGAGAGAGAGAGAGAGAGAGAGAGAGAGAGAGAGAGAGAGGAGAGGAGAGAGAGGAGAGAGAGGAGAGCGGAGATAGATGATAGAGGAAGGAGAGAGAGAGAGAGAGAGAGAGAGAGAGAGAGAGAGAGAGAGAGAGAGAGAGAGAGAGAGAGAGAGAGAGAGAGAGAGAGAGGGGGGGAAGAGATAGAGGATAGAGGAGAGAGAGAGAGAGAGGGAGAGAGGGAGAGAGGGAGGAGAGAGAGAGAGAGAGAGAGAGAGAGAGAGAGAGAGAGAGAGAGAGAGAGAGAGAGAGAGAGAGAGAGAAAGAAAGAGAGAATAAGAGACAGAGAGAAAGAAATATATATAGAGAAATAATCTCCTAATACC